GACCAGGTTAGAGCACTTGCAAATTTATTAAAACATGAATCAACAAACGAGAATAAAAAAAAAGACTTATCAGGAACATTGAAAGCAACATCAGCAGTTACATAATAAGCTCATATTACAAATCAGGCAGAATAAAAACACTGGGCAGACGTGAGCTTCTAAACGTTCCCGGCCCTTTAGTGACGTCAGACGTATTTGCGGAAGTAACCCGGACCTGTCAAGGTAGCTTGTTTACCAAAAGACTGCAAAGTTAACCATGAAGTAAAAATTTTGAAAACAGGATAATTAGTTGGAGAACAACGTTTGAAMGTATTTTATACCATAATTGCAACTATTTTGTGTCTATGTTACCTAAACCTGTTAATTTCTCGTGGTATTTTTCAGTACCGACTAATACCAGTAGCCTGAAGGCTTTTATTTTAAAAGCAGCAACAGGAAGCAGCGCTTGGTCGTCTCTAATTTTTTACTCTTTAAACCGGGTTAATATTCACTCCCCTTGAACTCTAATCTTTTTCTCGTTTCATCGGCAGACGGGACGATAAACATCATATAATCTTGTTGTTTGGTAGTTGGACTGATGGAAGCTAAGCAGAAACGGAGCCGAGCCGAACCGGACCAGCCCACGTCCTGTCGAGAAACGAGAGAGAGCAGCAGCCAGACTGACAGCAAGATGCAAGGTGGTTTTAGCTAGTTCTGTTTCTGCTTTAGGATGCCATAAACAAACAGCTGGGGGTATTTACACTGTGTATTGTATTTACACTTAGAGTACATGTATGTGTATTTATACTACGTATAACATTTGTTTAAAATGCTGTCATGCAGGAAGTGTCCCTCTTGTGTTATACATTCATTACTTAATTTGTAGTGCATTTGTTGAAAATGTTAAACCCATGAATGCTGCTCCATCGCCCAGCATTTCCACAGGGTTGATTTAGTTAAACTGTCTCACTCAGGTCATGGCCCCAGGTTGTCCAAAGTAAACCTGTTTACCCTGCTGAGCTTGTGGATGGAGTTGTTTCCTCAGGAACGACAGGAGGAAGATGAAAATGATCAGGTCAGTAAAACACACTCACAGAAAAAAAAAAAAAGTTTAGCCTTAATTCTTTCATTCGCCACAGTTTGACCGCTGTTGTATTTCCAGATTCGTGGGATCGGCCTGGTCGTGGTGCGGGAAGGGAAGGTGGTGGGTCTCCACTGTTCAGGAGCCGAGCTGCACGCGGGACAAGCAGCCATCCTCCAGCATGGTGCCGGTCTGGCTCACTGCCAGCTCTACTTCTCCAGGAGACCCTGTGCTACCTGCCTCAAGATGATCATCAACGGTGAGGAGGGAACACCTGAGGATTAGAACTCAGTAAACCTGCCGGAACTGCTTCTAGGCACCTCAGCTACTATTTTTTAAGTATTCAGCTTAATATTTCCATGCCAAACCCTATTAACCCTTTCGTGTATAGAGGTCACTACAGTGTACAGCTGTTTAAAAGTGTTTCTTTTTCTATATATATGCCTGCAATATGGGGCAGTGTTGCATATAATCCACTCTAGTGGAAACTATTACATCATCCCATACAAAAAAATCCCATTGGCTGGTCATTGCAATGGGAAAAAATAGTCAGTGAAACCAAGACGGCTGACGGGGAGAACGACCAAACACCTTGGCTATTTCAGTTTCTACCTTCCATAAAAAGATACCATTGCAGGTAAAAAAAAAATGATTACATCAAGTAACGTCTAAGGTGACATATTATGTAAAGATTTTCCAAGTTTTAAGTTTATCTTTGTAGAAAATACAGATTAAACATATGTTCACTCCATTGTACATCATGCATTACTGGCTACGTTTTAACTTCAATGCAATGTCAGTTATTACCAATGTTGTTCTTGAAAATAATTCATATCCTATACAGTTTTGGTTGTAAAACAACTTTATAGTATTATAATGTAATTTGATTTTTATATATACAAATTTTTATACACTGTCTAGCCATAAAAAAGATATTATACTGTACATGCTCTAAGAGAGATTGCTATGAGAGAATATGCTCAGTTCAGAGACTTGACAAGAAAACATTCTGATAAAAATATTTACAGTTAAGATTCTATGAGGATCTACAGTTCAGAGTAGGGCTGCACGATATCAGAAAAACCTGTGATGTGTGATAACAGTGCTTAATGTTGCGATGACGATATTACTTGAGATAAATGAACAAATACATAAGTATGTAGTGTTGATGTTTTCTGGGTTCTGAGCAAAAAATCAAACAAAGAAACAAAACTAATCATTTTCATTCTAGTATGAATTTTTAAAAATATGAAGAGAAATATATGAAAGGCTCCATTTGATTGGTGAAATACTTCAAGCTTCCGTCTGAGTGACAAAACTCATAAATGCAAACAGTTTATGCATTTGTTGCAATATGCATATTGCACAAGCAGTTATTGCGATGACGATACATTTTCGATATATTGTGCAGCCGTAGTTCAGATTGTGACTTGTGTCACACTATCCTCCTCAGTTCAGAGAGAATATATCTTTATTTTTTAACCTTGTTTTACATCCCTAAAGATGAATCAAAACACCTAGTGAAAACATAATTTTATGTTTATGTTAACTTTTACGTTTAGAGCTCAAATAGAGAGGACTACAGAGTAGAGGAGGAACCACCATTCCAACAGAATACCATATTACAACTGTATTACTAAATTACAACTATACCTATATAATTACCATGTTATTACATTTATGTTTTTCTACAGTACAAAATGCATGAAGTACACTTGAGTGTACAGATAATTATTTCTTAAAAAAATAAAGATAGAAAAAACTTTTTCAAACCTTGTTTTACATCCCTAAGGATGTATAAAAACACTTAGTAAAAAATCCTGACTGAGTTGATCTTAATTCATGCAGGAAAAGGGTTAAACATCCCAATGATTGAGTCAGTGTTTGAATGGCATTTTCAGCATGTTGTCCAGATAGTGTTATCATCATGTTGACTTTTATTAGGCATTAAAGTGCATCAGCACAATCCTGAACTTTGGAATTGTCCCTTTAACCTTCTCTCTCCTTCAGCTGGAGTCAGTCAGATCTCCTTCTGGCCCGGAGATCCTGAGATCAGCATGCTGACACCCACCCCTCCAAACCACACCACCTCCCACCTCCCCGCGCCCTGCTCGATGACAGAAGAGGCGGCGCTGGACGCCATCGCCGTGGAGCGGCTGAAGTCGAACAGTCGTCCTCACATCTGCGTGCTGCTGCAGCCGCTGGCGCCGGGCCTGCTGCAGTTTGTGGAGGAGACGTCTCGAGGGAGCGACTTCATGGAGAGGATGGCGGACGACGACCCAGCGCTGAACACAGAAGAACTTTTCAACAGGTGTTCAACGCGTGCTCACTATTTTTTTTTCCAGAATCAGAATCATTTATTGTCATTCACACACAACATCAAAGATGCAATGCAGAACGAAATTGCAGTTTAGAGCCGGAGTCCGGAGAAACACACAAATAACAAACATGGGGGAACGAATATCCAGGGTCTTTTGCACAACAGTGCACTACCTTTTGCAGCTTGGAATACACACAATAGGAAAGGTGAGTTAAAAAAGATGCTCTGATCCTGGGTTTACACAGAAACATACGCTAAAAAAAATCACTCAGTGCAAGGCAGCTAAGGAAGGGAGGGGGCTGGGGGTCAAACAACACATAAAGGGGAGGTAAGATGGGGCGAGTTCAGAGGAATAGGTGACGTTGAGGGAGGGGGGACTGTGCTAGGACCCAACCCTGGCCCCCTCCAGAGTCCAGAGTCACATGATATTATTGTCTCTACTCAGTTCACCAGAGTTCAGAGTTTCCTCCTCCTCAGCCATTGGGTTCCGGGGCCAGGTCCAACACAGGTGATGGGGTAGGAGCAAATCAAGCTCTTTGTTGATATTCCATCCTGGGGAGATTGAGATAAACACTGCCATCAAGGCTGTGCCACTGGGAGCCAAATAGATATTCTAATTGTTTTGGAACAAAGCAGCCTTGTATTTCCTGCTGCTTTTGAAATGTCTTAACTGCATCTCTGAAGTGGCGAAAAAAAACAATCAGCTGAATTTGGGGTCTTCCTCGCATCTCACCGTCTGAAGCGTCACCCAGATGTAATCCTTACATCTGAGGAGGAGGCTCGCTCCTGAGCTGCGATCCTCGTCAGAATCACATCCAGTTTGTGAATTATTTTCCCCAGCTGAGAGTCTGTGTGCTACCAGCCTGGCAGAATCCTTCTAATGCGTCTGACAGCTCCTCAAAGGCCCGAACCACTGTCAGGGTCGCTTTCACTTTTCAATAAACCTGGAGCCCTCCTCCGCTGATCAGCAGGAATCC